TCGATCCTGTACTGGCCTCGCAGTCCTTGCTGCATAGAAAATCAATGTGACAGTCACCGTGTCGTCCAGCTTGTTAAGGGTCTTCCTCTCCTTCCCTGACCCTCCGCCTTTCCCAGCATGGCGTTTTTCTGACCGACTAGCCCCTCCTGACGGCACACCCCACACAGGTGAGGTGACATTTCACCTGTTCTGTGGAGCTGCCTGGTTGCCCTTCCTCCCACACAGATTGCTTTGTTCCTTCGGCAGCCCATGGGCAGCCCGGTCTCCAGGGCCGCGGCCTCCTGACATGTGAGAGGAAAGAAGGTGAGCTCTGGTGGTGCAGGGTCCCCTTGTCTCCCTGATAATATATAAAAGTTCAGTTGTTCAAATCTCCTAGCTACTCCAAGGGAGAAAGATGGGCAGTGTCCTCTTCTAACAATTTACAGCCTTCAAAATTGGATGAAGGGTTGTGGTGAGCTGGAAGCTACTGTGGCAATGGCTTTAAACCCAACATACTACTCAAATGCACGATGTCCCTCTCCAGGCTTCTCCTGGCAACAAAGCATCTAAAGTGAGGTCTCACCATCCGTGCCTGCAAGGAACATTCTGACTGTCCTTTCTCCAAGACAAATCTGTTCCATGGCGGTTCATGTTATATTCAGTATTTTTCACCAACACTACAATTAAAGGCAACACTTCTTTACAGATCTTCCTTATTCACTGCCTGACATGCTTGTGCACATAAAACCACCCACTATTCTTTGTGACAGGGGCAGTGGACAGCATTACCATTCTCTCACTGTCATCGGTCAAAACTGACTCACAGCTGACCCTCCAGTGGGTTTTCAGAGGCTGTAAATTGCACAGGACAGTACCCATCTTTCTTTCTTGGAGCAGCTGGTGGATCTGAACTGTCTACCTTAGGGTTAGTAGTGCAACTAACTCCCTACCCACTAGGCCACCAGAGCTCCTGATGTAAAAATTTTAAAAAATGAATTTTTAGGGACTTATTGATATTTCCACCCTCTATGAGGTGGATTGATTCAGTGACTGGGGTAATCTGGATGGGTGTGTCAGAGACAGTGCGATTGGCACAGGACAGAGCAGAATTTAGGGCTGTTGTACACAGGGTCGCTATGAGTCACAAGTGACTCGACAGCACAATAACAACAACTCCTACTGTCTAGATTCTAAAAGACAGCAACCCTGGAAATCTGGGCAATGTTGCTGGCTTAGTAAGTAAAGAAACAGCAGAATGCTGGGCCAATGCCAAAGAGGAACGCTCATAGTATAGTTAATAGCATTAGTTTGAAGCTATTTAAAATTTTCATAAGGGATAACACTAACAGCTAAAGCATTTTATGTAGAAATCAGTACATAATTTGGTTAAGAAACAATGAAAATACACTACTAAGAAGTGTCCTGAAACAGTCTTCTCATTAGGAAAGAATTAGGGTTAAATGAGAAAGTACCTATTCTCTCTCGTGTACACGCACACACATGCGTGCACGCACACTCTTCCTCCCACCCCCTTATTTCTCTGTGTGTGTGTGTGTGTGTGTGTGTGTGTGTGTGTAGACAGACAACGTAATAGGTAGATGTTTATGTAGTTGTTAGCTGTTGTTAGGGAGCTCCAGTGACCTAGTGGTAAGAAGCTGTGCTGCAATCCCAGAGGCACTCGGTTCTAATTCCACCAGCTGCTCTGTGGGAGAAGGATGGATGATCTTCTCCTACTGTGAGATTCACTACCTCCGAAAACCTACCGCAAGGTCGGCCAGGAGTCCGTTTTGACTCAACAACAATACAGAGGACAGCCTCTCTCCTTCTCGGGATATGCTGAGCTTTGGCTTTAAAGATGTCCCTGTCTTCAGGCCTCTGCCCATTTCCCCACCAGGTCCAGTGTGTCCCTGCTCCTCCAGGAATCTGACCCCAGCACTGGAAAGGGCAGGCTGGCTTTGACTTCTATCAGATCGAGGACACACATCTCCTGAATCTGGTTGAGGCCATCTTTCTTGGGAGGCTCACCCCAATCTGCTCTCCACGCTGTCTCTTCTGAGACTCAACCCCAACCTGAGTTTATTGGAGGACGAGGGTCCAGGCTGTCGCTGGCTTCTGAGTCTCCCGAGGGTGTGGACAGGCTAACAGCTCTCCGGAGACCTGCCACACAACAGGGCACGAGGGCTTCACCAACACAATGCATCATCGTGACAGGTGACTGGGTGATGGAGCTACCACTTCAAAGATGAAGCCATTGCAGACTGAGTCCAAGATCTGATTATGCTTAATTATGGGACAAAAGATATCTCTTCTGCTACTCTGGTGATAAATTAACCAAGGGATGAGAAGGGGGCATTGAGGAGAAAAGGGGGAGAGGGGCTCAAGCACAGCCTGAAGAGGGTCATGGGAGAAGCTCACTGACTCTCTTCTGAGCCTAAACACAAGACAGAGGAACAATCAAGCCTGAGCTGTGGGGTGACATGGCTCACGGCAGCCACCCCCATTCCTGAGTGAGACTGCTCTGTAATCTCCATGGATGTAGATGGCTAGGCCTTGCAAGGGGCCACTGGATGGGCTTGAACTACTCACTTTTCAATTATTAGAGGAGTAATTGTTTATGAAATCCAGAGACCTCATTCCTTGAAACCATGGGTTATGAAGCAAAGGTCTACTGGACAAAGCCTGAGCCCCTCAGATATTGACTGAGCCCTCAGTTCCTCTCCATGGTGGTAGAGCTTATCCTAAGACCACCCACTACAGTCCTCACCGCCTTTCTGTCACTGCAGGTGCCCACTACTCCTGCCTGTGTGGAGTTTGACGTAGCATGTGTATTGATGGATGTCATATGGACTTGGGCCCAGAAAGGCCATGCCCTCACTCTGGTGGGCACGCCACTGCCTGGTGGGCACTTCTGCACCTTAGCCCCCTGATCTGAGTGGTTCAAGCCAATCCCAAAGATTCCTGCTGGCCTTCACATCCCATAAGCCATCACAGACGAAGACCCTTGGTGAGACGGACCAGCGCAGTGGATGCAATGAGGTTCAGCAGAGACCGAGGATGGCGCAGGACCGGGCGGGACTTTGTCCTGCTGTACTCGGGGCTGCTGTGAGCATTGACGGGATGACACCTTACAACAACAGCATCCCAAGAAGTAGCTCTGAGCTTGCTGACGAGCCCAGCATACTCTGGCCACAGGCAAGCCCTCCCCGAAGGCCAGACCAAGCTTCAAAACCTCTTCCTTCCTCAGATCCTGTAGGGAACCGTGGACATCAGCATGGGCTGGAGGCCACAGCATCTTGGAAGCACCCTTCACTCTACACCCCTCTAGATGGGAGATACACATTCCTCAAAACACATCACCTCCAGACGCATCCTTCCTGGTTCTCCAGGCTCCAAACTCCTTGGAAATGCACCCTCGGCATCACCTGGGACTCTGGTCCTTCCCATTCCTTCCTGGTGTTACTGTTCACCTGGTAAACCCATGTACTGTGGGGCTCCAGGTTGTGCCATGAGGTCAAGCTCATGTCCAGGCTCACAGGGCAGCTGAGGGCCATGGTCTTGGGGGCTCACGGTCTCGGTCAGACCAGGCTGCTTAGGCATCACTGGGATCTGAGCTGTGTTCTTCTTATCCCACTCTTTCCAGGACCCACTTTAATTGCTTTCAGAGCAGTTACCGGGCATCCTCTAGTTCTTCTGGTCTCGGGGTGTGGGATGCTGAGGGTCATAAGGTCTGCTGGAGCTATGGACAGTCTGCAGACATGCAGCTTTGCTGTCCTTCCCTCATGGAAGGACAGGAAAAGACTGCCTAGAGGGTCACTTGCAAGCTTTTAAGCCCCCCGGTCACTACTCACCAAAGCAGAGCACAGAACTCCATCTTTGTGAACTACGCAACTACCCTGAGGTCCCCCAAGACGATGATCCTGGGGCTCATGACCTGTAATTGTGACTATGACACCCCTATGCCTGGCCAGGTCCTTCAAGCTCCACATCCTGTCCCTCGTCAGCCTGGGTCTCATCCTTGCGTCTAAGGTCCACTCTGAGCCCCTGCACCTCCCAGGCCCCCATGTGGGCTCTTCCATTCCTCCCACACTCACCACACCATGCAATGGGCTCTCCCCATGCAGCGTAGACCCTGGGAGAACAGGAACTATCATATGAGCTGATTTGTGTTGTTGTAACCAGCGTCTAAAGCAGGTGACAGAGGCGTGTTTGCAGAATGAATGCATGAATGAATGGCCTCGTAGCTGCTGTCTGGTCAGCTCTGCCGCCCACAACCACGCACACAGTAGAAAGAAGCACCCCTCCATCCCGGACCGTCCTTAACCTTGACGCCGTTTGGGCTCCTTGTTACTCCTGCTGTGTCAGACCATCTCATTTCTATTTTGCTGAGCCTTTAATTTACTGTCCATGATGGATGGACTGCCCTTGTCCAGGGACTGGTCCCTCCTAATTACATGCTCACATCGAATTAATGAATGGATGACAGAAATACTCGATGCTGATGCTCTGAAAGGTTAGTGGTTCAAATCCTCTCAGAGGTGCCTTTGAAGAAAGGCCTGGAAATCTGCATCCCAAAGACTCCAGCCTTGAACTCCCCACAGAGCAGCTCTCCTCTGCACACCTGGGGTTGCCATGGACATGAACCGACCTGACAGCAGCATCTGCGCATGTCCATACTGGGTGGAGTACCAGACAGAGTGCTGGTTCCTCACATGTGAGGAATGGAAACCTCTCAGGGAATGATTGGAACGGGAACTGAGAGGCGTGGACAAACTGTGACACTGGGAAGTGGCTCTGCAGTTACTCACGTTCTCCTTTCAAGATGAGAAGCCCAAAATTGACTCTATTAATTCAGGTGCTGAGGTAAACACTTATGGATCTTTTCCAAATGGGCAGAACACCCTCACAGCTTAGAGGAGGCAGCAGAGCGGGCCCCAATGAGAGAACAAAGGCAAGAGAAGTTTCTAGAAGCCCCACGAGGCCCGGCAGCTCCACACCCTTCCTGGCCGGCGACGGCTTCCTACCTGCGGTCCCCAGCCATGGCACGGGTACAGTATTGCTGTGTGGTTCTCCAGCGGCCCCTGGTCCAAGCACACATCTTTGGCCTTGTTGTTGCGAAGCTGGAAGGACAGGGGGAAATATCACAGGTCAGATGACGGCTCGTTTCTCAGCCGCAGGCCCACCGGTTCCCAGCAAAGGGCTCAGGCAAAGTCTGTGACCTGAGCAAGAAGGTGGAGGCCTTCAGCTGTGGCATGAGGTCTCTCCCTCTGCCCGTGAACTTGGTGGTCTGGCCCCCACCCCCTTGTCTCACACCTTCGGCACAGAAAAGGATGATGGGAGGCTTGTTGTCATAGTGTGAACTTCTCAGGTGTCAGGTCTAAAGCTACCTCAGAGAGGGGTACTGAATGCATGAAACAAGCTCTCAGTGGGCTGGGACACACTCATTGCTTCTTCTCTCCGCCCCGCCCCCATTTCTCATTGCTGTTTTTTAAGAAAAACTGGGATTGGAGTTGAACATTTACAAAGCGTATGGTTTTTAAATCAACCACTCACACACATTCTCTGTAACATTAATTACAATACCCATGCTGTCTGATTGTCCACTCAATCCACACTTTCTCTTTCCTCATCTGAAGAAGTGTTGATCTATTTATCAATTTTCTACTCCCTCACCCCCATCCTCTCCATGGTAATCATACTACAATGACACTATCTCTGTGTAAACCTTCTTAGGCCTTTTATAATAGTGATTTTATAGCGTATTTGTCCTTTTGTGACTGACTGGTTTCATTTAGCCTAATGTTCTTTAGGGAGCTCTGGTGGCTTAATGGTAAGAAGCTGTGCCACAACCCTGAAGGCAGGTGGTTTGAAACCACCAGTTTCTCTGCGGGAGAAAGATGGGCTCCTCCTGTCTCTGAAAACCTGCTGAAGGGCCAGCTATAGATCAGTTCTGACTCTACAGTCCTCAATAACAACGACCTTTAGAGTCAACCATGACAAGGGACTGTTCTAGAAGGGATCACAGAATATCCTGGACAGAATGGCAACAAAATGTGGAACGAAACATCATAAAAATTGCCAGGATAGTCAGTCTGGAGACTAAGGTGCTCCTGATACAAGCCATAGTCTTCACAATTGCTTGCTATGTGTCAGAGTGTTAGACAATGACTAGGGATGATAGAAAGAGAATTGATGCCTTTGAGCTGTGGTGCTGGAGAAGAGTGCTGAATATACCATGGACTGCTTGGAGAACAAATAGGTTCTTCCTAGGGAAGGTGAAACCAGGCTGCTCCTTGGAGGCAAGTATTCTGAAACTGACTTTGACATGTTACATGATTTGGACATGTTACAAGGCGGGACCAGTCATTGGAGAGGGATGTCAAGCTTGGGAGGGTGGAGAGACAGCACAGGAGAGGAAGACCCTCGATGAGATAGATTGATTCAGTGACTGGGGTAATGGGGGTAGGTGTGTCAGAGACAATAAGATTGCTACAGGATAGAGCAGGGTTTAGGGCTGTTGCTGTTGTACATAGGGTCATTATGAGTCGCAGGCAACTCAATGGCACATAACAACAACATACAATAAAACTGATAAGAAAACCTTCCAGACTGGAAGTGAACTCACTCCTGTGCCTTAACTTTCAGCCAAATAATAGACAGGTCTTGAATGTTAACAATAACTCTTGCAAGATATTCACTCCCTAGTAACACTAAACAAATGTATCAGATCCAAAGGACAGCATTAGCCCAGGGACAAAGCTTAGAAGGCAGGAAAAGGTAGGCGAGAAGGATGAATGGAAAAGAGACTCACAGGGAGGAACTGGGAAGAGTGCTGTTAATATGCGGGCTGTTCTTGAGGTGAAAACCAAAAACGGGTATGAAGGGTTCAATGGAAAACCAGTTTGTTCCATAAATCAACTCAAATCACAAGAAAAAGGTTTTTTTTAAAAGGGAGTACAGCATAGGTGAGCTTACTGGAAGTTCTACTGTGTCATGTGAGGTGGCTGAGGCAGAGACTGTTGTTGAGTCAGAAAACTGACTCAATGGGCATGGATTGTTGTTTCTGTTGTTGTTTTCATGTGTGAACTCTCCATGGAAACAAAACCAACTAGAGAGCAACTCAGACAATAGGTACTGTTCTCTGTGCACTCAAATTATGTCTAGATGTAGGAAGGAACAAGAGTAGTTTAACTGTTGCCTCCATTTCTACTAAATTTTATTTATCTTGTTCTTCTGGAGAGTTGTTTTAATGACTTTTTAGAAGCTATTAAGATGTTAAATGTAGCACTACATTTCATTTGCAGCACCCTGGAACTTGGAGAAGGGAAGAACAAGTGCTCACAATCCTTTAACGCAAGACTAACATTTCCCCTCATATTTTGGACAATTGAGTTTTGCTGCCTTCTGGCTGTGAAGAGGAACAGCTTTCTGCACAAAGCTATGCTCTGAGTTCAGCTTCTCTCCTTGAGAACTGAATGTCAGCACTAGGAGTATAGCATCAAAGGGTACTGGTATACCCACCTGCATGATCTTTAAAAATGCTGCCCAACTGCTTTCTGCAAGACTTCAAGTCCCAAAGTTTCTACACGTTTGTCAAAGTTAGGATTTAAAGAAAAGTATTTTATTGACATATGGCAGTTGGCTGTTAACTGAAAGATCGGTGGTTCAAACCCAGGAAGACATGCCTGAGGGTTAAAATGCGGCAAAAATTCACAGTCTTGTATCTCTTATAAGGCATTTCTACTTGGTCCTATGGGGGACTGAGTTATAATGGATGCTACAGTAATATCGTCAACAACCTACGTTATGCGGATGACACAACCCTGCTTGCTGAAACTGAGAAGGACTTGAAGTGCTTGCTGCAGAAGGTCGAGGGCTGCAGTATTCAATATGGATTGAAGCTCAACATCAAGAAAACAAAGATTCTCACCACCGGGCCAATTAGCAGCGTCATTATGGATGGTGAAGAGATTGAGATAGTTAACAGTTTTAGTTTACTTGGTTCCACAGTTGATGCTCTAACAGCAGCCAGGAAATCAGGAGATGAATTGCATAGGGAAAGTCAGCTGTGAGGGACCTTTCAAGAGTACTGGAGAGTAACGACATCAGGCTGGAGACTAAGGTGTGCCTGATCCAGGCTATAGTCTTTGCACTTACGTGCTATGCATTGGAGAGTTGGACAGTGAATAGGGATGACAGAAAGAGAATTGATGACTTTGAGCTGTGGTGCTGGAGAAGAGTGTTGAATATACCATGGACTGCTAGGAGAACAAACAGGTTTGTCCTGGAGAGGGTGAAGCCAGAACGCTCCTTGGAGTCAAGGATTCTGAAGCTTCGTCTGACATACTTTGGGCATGCTGAAAGGAAGGACTGGTCCTTGGAGAGGGACATCATGTTTGGCAGAGTGGAGGGACAGCGCAGGAGAGGAAGACCCTCGATGAGATGGATCGATTTTGTGACCGGAGCGGTGGGAATGAATGTGTCTGAGACGGCGAGGTTGGCACAGGATAGAACGGCGTTTAGGGCTCTTGTACATAGGGTCGCTATGAGTCGCAAACGACTCGATGGCACATAACAACAACAACAACAACATAGTAATAAGTTGGAATTTTGTTGTTGCTACTTCTACATGTAAACAAAGCACTGGTCATTTCAATGTTTCTCTCATACAGTTCAGTGACACTGATTACGTCCACAGCATGCTGCAACCACCACCGCTATCCATTTTCAAAAATTCTCATCACCTTATTATTTTAGTGAAAGCCCTGATAAGACAGTGGTTAAGCGGCCAGCTGCTAATCACAAGGTCACCAGTTCAAACTCAAAAGCTTCTCTGGAGGAGAAAGATGAGGCAGTCATCTTCGGCAAAGATGCACAGCCGTGGAAACCCTCTGGGACAGTTCTGCTCTGTCCTATGATCGTCATGAGTTCAAATCCACTTGACAGCAGTAAGTTTGGTTTGACTGCTGACAGTTAATGTGATCAGCTGCTATCTAAATCCTCCCTAAGGTGCTTCAGAAGAAAGTCCTGGTGACTTTCAGAAAACTGAGTGACTGAAAGCCCTACAGAGCACAGTTCTCTTACACACGCAGGGTCACCATGCAGTAGAAGCAACAGACCAACAACTGGCTTTTGCATTGTTTTGACAGGCAGAGACCTTCTTTTCATAAGTCCCATTTCTTTCAATAATAGCTTATTTTAATCTTTTATGTTTAGCAATTCTTTGCCATCTTGAGAATTATCTGTTTATGCTCATTTCCCCTCCCCACTGGGATCCTAAGTGGTTTTTAGTATAGATTTGTGGGAGCTCTTTACATATTAAGGATATTAATTATTTTATGGTCTATTTGTTCCATCTAATGATTTCAGAAAGCCAGGCTCTTAATGGCTGTTTACTGTCTATGCAATCACATGTATCATTTAATAGATGCTTATGGAGGGCCTGGGGCTTCCTGAGGAGTCCTGGTGGCGCTGTGGGTGAAAGCATTTGACTGTTAACCACAAGGCTGGTGATGTGAACCTGCCAGCCGTTCCAGGGGGCAGCTCTGGCAGCCTAGTCGTAAGGAGTTACGCTGCTGACCCGAAGGAACGCATCCACCAGTTTCTCCATGGAGAAAGGTGAGCGATCCCCTCCTGTGTGACTTACGGCCTCTGAAAAACGTGCTGAGGCGCCTGTGATGGATCAGTTCTGACCTGACGATACACAAAAAACAGTAAGAGGCTGCTCCTCAAGAGAAACGAGGCTGTCTCACTTCTCAGATTGGCGTCCGTGGGCAGCTCTGCCCTTCCCTCCTGGGTCACAATGAATCGGGATGGAATGACCAGCAGTGGGTCTGGAGGGTGTCTGGCACTGTGTCAGATTGCTGGAACACCAAGACAACCAAAACCAGGTCTGTGCTGGCAATCTGCAGTCCAGGAGAGCCAGGGAGAGGACAGATGGGGCGAGGTGGCCACCAAGGAGGAGCCGCCAAGAGGAAGTGGTCGCTGGACCGAGTGCTGGCAAGGGCACACGTGCAGAAGCCATGCTGGAAATGCACTACCTGCCCATCCAAGGGTGGCTATATGGATTTTTGTTATGCTCATCTACTAACCTAAAGGTTGTTGGTTCAAACCTACCTAC